TTAGTTTGTCTCAAACTCAATGGGAAGGCCAAAGCACTGTACCCTGGGTTAGTTTGTCTCAAACTCAATGGGAAGGCCGAAGCACTGTACCCTGGGTTAGTTTGTCTCAAACTCAATGGGAAGGCCAAAGCACTGTACCCTGGGTTAGTTTGTCTCAAACTCAATGGGAAGGCCAAAGCACTGTACCCTGGGTTAGTTTGTCTCAGACTCAATGGGAAGGCCAAATCCACTGTACCCTTGGTGAGTGTGACACAGTCCCAATGGGAAGGCCAAATCCACTGTACCCTTGGTGAGTGTGCCACAGACTCAATGGGAAGGCTAAAGGCACTGTACACTGGGTTAGTTTGTCTCAGACTCAATGGGAAGACCAAATCCACTGCACCCTTGGTGAGTGTGACACAGTCTCAATGGGAAGGCCAAATCCACTGTACCCTTGGTGAGTGTGCCACAGACTCAATGGGAAGGCTAAAGGCACTGTACACTGGGTTAGTTTGTCTCAGACTCAATGGGAAGACCAAATCCACTGCACCCTTGGTGAGTGTGCCACAGACTCAATGGGAAGGCTAAAGACACTGTACACTGGGTTAGTTTGTCTCAGACTCAATGGGAATGCCAAAACCACTGCACCCTTGGTGAGTGTGCCACAGACTCAATGGGAAGGCTAAAGGCACTGTACACTGGGTTAGTTTGTCTCAGACTCAATGAGAAGACCAAATCCACTGCACCCTTGGTGAGTGTGCCACAGACTCAATGGGAAGGCTAAAGACACTGTACACTGGGTTAGTTTGTCTCAGACTCAATGGGAAGGCCAAATCCACTGTACACTGGGTTAGTTTGTCTCAGACTCAATGGGAAGACCAAATCCACTGCACCCTTGGTGAGTGTGCCACTGACTCAATGGGAAGACCAAATCCACTGCACCCTTGGTGAGTGTGCCACTGACTCAATGGGAAGACCAAATCCACTGCACCCTTGGTGAGTGTGCCACAGACTCAATGGGAAGGCCAAATCCACTGTACACTGGGTTAGTTTGTCTCAGACTCAATGGGAAGGCCATCAACAAAATCTTTGTTTTCTTTTAATCAATAGATTACATAAAGTACCTAGATGATGATTCCCAAGAATATACAGATAGTAAACGTAAGACACATCATTCACCTTTCATCTTACTATGTGTATACACTACAATTACTGATAATATACTTGGACCACAAGAATTAGGGGAGAGAGATATAAACACACTATATATTTTATGAAGCCCATGCTTCACATTGATTGAGTTACAAATGTATGTTACATTAAGTGCAACATTCATGTGGTCATGTGAGTGTTAAGTAAATATATCTTTTATTGAAGATTTGATTGTGCACCCACCATCAAAATAATCAATCAAATGTATGCTACTCAGGAGTCAGATTTCTTGACTACTTTATATAAACACTAACTTGTTATCTATACTTGGATAGTTATATAAAGATATATATGCAACTTGGACAAAATGGTTTTTAGATAAGCTGGGCTATTTATGAAATGGTTTACGATAATATGTTGTGTATCAGTCTGCACCTCCCGGTTATATTGCAGTATTCTCATAATAATTATATCATTACGGTTAAAGCAATGTTAAGTTAACTTGACAATGACTTGAAAATAGTCGGTTAGATACTTGCATTTTTTTATAAAATCTTATTAAGTTTATTTTTATTAACAGTTCTGTTTTTTTCTCTAGGTGCACTCAAACTTGTTAGTGAAATTGCCAGTCATTGCAATAATAGTATGAAACAAATGGTATGTTAGGTTTGTTATCAAAATATGTGCATGTATTGTCATTTAATGTTCATTTTTGCTGATGAGAAAGATATTGTTTTAAACAGTCATTTAAATAGTTTAAAAATTAATGTCGATTTAACAATTAATTCATTCTAAATAAAAGTGAGAATTTAAACTTTTAATGATGATACACCTTATCAAGGCAGACATTGGTGTACATAAGAGGATAGTGAATGATTTGTTTTTACTGGTACCCAAATTAAGATGATTGTTAGATATTCCTGAATGATTTTCCAGTCACAAATATTCACATAAAGCAAATCTCTTTTTAGATAAAGTAACACATCTGTGTGATCATGTTATACAGGTGTATACTGTGGTAAACAATTTAGAATATTTGAACAAAAACAGCTTGCTGGAAAATATTCAACAATTTCAATTATTATTTTTTCATATCTCAAGAATGTTTTAGAAATATAAAAATCATTGTGCAAGTATAGCATTATTTAAGAATGAACATCATAGTAAAAACAACAACACAGATAAAGTACAAATCAAGGTTTCCAAAACTTTGCAATAATCCAATAATTCAACTTTGGTGATCATATTGGATTGGAAAATGCATAAAGATTAGGTTTGTAATAAAAAAAATAGTTTTAGTACTGTATCCCAGGAGTTTTTTTTATTTCAAATTTCAAACTTACAATAAGTATCACACAATTTCTGTGTTTTAGCTGTGATTATTTCAAAGCAACCGTCTCATCAGAACTGTACATCTGCATGTGTGTATTGATAGCAGTCAGTCTTTGTTGAAATCTGGTAATGCAAATTATAGTGCTTAATTATAATTAAAAGTGTTTTGTGATGATATAGAATTATAGTAATTACAATGGGCAATGTCCATGTTTTGAACTGTGTATCGTGAATAGAGAATGTGATGTAGGTAAGACAACTCAGTAATCAGAAGAACTATTTTTATACTAGAA